AGTTTTGCATGCTGTTGTGCAAATGGAACAGACAACAGGTGGAAATGATTGGCAATTAGCAAGACCCACTGAATAAAGGAGTGGTTTTGCAGGTGGGGTCCCAGACTACTTCTCAGTACCTATCCTTTCTGGCTGATATTTTGGTCACTTTTGATTGTTAGTGGTGTTTCTCTACAACGCAAACAAGTGGCTCAGGTAGTGCAGCTCATCAAGGATGGTCACTGATGATGATCACTGAGTTCTGTGGCAAGAAGTTATGCTGTGTCTGTCACAGTGTCCAGAGGCTGAAGGCGCTACCAGGAGACAGGCCAGTACACCAGGATACATATGGTGTGATCAAATTCAGAGGATGCATCCTCCAAGGACCCAGTCTACCTGGACTGGGTCCTTCAAGGACCGTGAAAATAAGGAGGCTGGAAGAGTTTTTGCTATGGATTTAAACAGGTCCAACCTTCTCCGGCTTCCAATGCCCATATGCTCTGTCGCCTAGCAACTTTAACAGTTGACACACAAAGCAGGCAAAGAATGGATACCAAACTTCTTACAAGTGTTCTCTAATGCTACGTTCTAATGCTATGTTCAGACCTAAAACAGCAGAGGGAGCAGGTGCAGCTAGTTTACATCCAAAGTCAATGGTTGACACACATTTTGAGCGGCAGGTGCAGCGCGTCTGAGCAGCTGAAGCAGTGCGTCGTGAGCATTTGACGCGCGTGACGCATTGCAAACACTGTTAAACTTTTGCTGCTTGACACGCCACATCAACCAACCAGAGAAGCTGATCTGGGAGCTGGCAGGGTTAGAGACACATTGCTGATGATACAGTACAGATCACTATGATCACTCCACTGAAACAGTTTATTAATGCCCAAATTAACATCAAATGCTGAAATCTCCTGGCAAAACATGTTTGCTTTATTTATTTATCCTGGTGCCTGCAGTTTGGATTACGTAGATGAAAACCGCCTTCCAGCCGCCACGGCAAACCGCGAAGAGACGACCGGGCCATAGGCTGCTGTTGAATAGGATTCCTACTGACAGCGCACTGCTGGTATGAGCGGCTCCGAGAGCAAAATAATATTTGAAGGCAGGATGGTAATCTGGATGAACTGACTGCACAGATTAAGTTTTCAGGTGGACTTTCTGACTGAAAAACATATTAAAATTACTTTTTACCCACTAATCACAGCATATATAGCTGCCATTGTTACAGGCAAAGAAAGGATAGGGTAGCTCCGCCCAACGCGCATCCCACCCACTTTTCCCACGGTGCAGCTCCGCACATCAGAACTAAACTTGTACAAGCATCAAAAATGAAGCAGCACATGCGTTTTTGCTGCTCCTGCTGCTTTCGGTCTGAATGTAGCATTAGGGTGTGTAATTTCAGCATTCCAGTTTTTTTTTAGCAGTGTAAATAGTTCAATTTTAAAGTCGTAGGGAAACGGCTGTTCCAACCGTTGCATTTGAGTGGTCGTTTATCAAGAGGGCAGGTTGTTGTGGCGGAAGGTTTGCAAGCAACTTTGATTGTGGCAGGTGTCTCCAAAGCATCTTGCTAACCAGTTAGCAACTTAGCGCTAGTAGGTTCCCAATGGGAAATTACATTGGGATCAAGTAGCACCAAAATGTTGACTTAGAAACTACACTGTCAAGGAACGCTATGGACAGTGGAAATATGCAAGAGGAGGAGAGTTTTGTGTCGGTGGTCTTGGTTGAGTCTCCTTCCTCAGAAACTTTTTATTTAGAGGAGGAAAGTGGGGACAAAGATGTTGTGGAAGAGGACGGCAGGGTGGCAGAAGCTTTGTTTGGTGTAGAAGGCTTACAGCCGTACATGTTTGAGCCCTTGCCTCGCAACGCTTCCAGTTCTGTTTGCTCTATGCCTGCTGAAGTCAGTTACTAATGGAATCTTTTGCAAACTTGCAAAGTTAAACATAGATTAACTTCAAAGGATACATGTCACTTCAAGATGCAATTTTTTTGTAGTTCACCACCAGCTTCCTGTGCTTTTTGTCTATCCCCCAAAAGAAAAATTCAAATGAACCCAATTGGTTTTATTTGGCTTTATGGAGTCCCCTGCAGCTCAAACAGTCACTGCTGAAAAGAGCCCAATTTAGCATATGTTCAAATGGAGCTCAAAAATGAAGAAAGATGTAAAAGGGAATAAAAATGTGGAGCAGTGACTGCTTAGATCATATAATCCAGAATCTAAGACAAGTAAATGAGCTATTCATTACTCAACTGGGATTTCTTACTCAAATCTCAAGGTTGTACAGATGCCAGGTGTACATCCTTTGTTTGCTTGTTTTCTAATTATCCGGAATAGGATTTATAAAATAAAATTTTATTTTTCTATCTGTAAAGCCATCATATTTTCTGTGACAAATGCATTTATCTGAGTCTTTCATTAAAGTTTAAAACAGTTTTCACCTTTCTGATTTGATAGTCAGTGGGGAAATCTACTTTTCTATTAAGTTCATCTTCAGAAAGCAACTTTTGAAATTATTCACTGTTCAATTTTAATTTTCAAAAGACCTTTTAAAAGCTGAAAACTATATTAAAAAAACATTTCAACAATACGTACTTGTGTAATATTTGAATACTAGTATGATTTTGATAATAATGAGAAGGAAGGTGCAAATATTGGTCAATATGAGCTGAGCTTGATTTATGCTCGGCACACATATGTTCTGGACAGAGAACGAGACACATTGACACAATGTCTACAGCTTGCAGACATGTCTCAAAGAGGGACAGTAATCGCGTTCCAAGAGATTTTCACAATGGTTATATTGACCATGGTTATATTTACCCACTAAATCATAAGATGTCTCTAGAAGTTCATATTTGCAAGCTGTCGCTCATCCACTATGTTTTAAAGTGTTGAGTTTTCTGTGAAATTGTCTGTGCGCTGTGTGGAAATTCTGTTTGTGTGGACGCCCTGCGAAGGGGAGTGGAAGCTAAAGAGACGTCACTTGGCAAGGTGAAAGGTCTCCTGAAGCAAAAATCGAGCCTTATGATCAAAAAGATCTAGTTTAAAAAAATATTTGAAAAGAGGCTTCAAGAAAAGAAACATTATATTCTATTGTTATTGTAATCCTGAAAAGTGGTATAAATTAGATTAAGTGGTTTAAATTACATCAGATGAGTACAATGCAATCAGTAGTATGAATGCATTATTTATCCTAATGAACACCGGCATATATCTTAACAGTAGGGTTGCCTGTCTCTAATGCTTCTATAAATAGTTAAATGTGTATATGTGTGTGTAACTATACAAGTGTGTGTGTCAAGGTGTGTGCTTGCTTGTGTGCCAACATCTGTCTACGTACTTGTCATTTCTGTGTTTAGTTCTTTACAGAAGGACAGAGATAAACGTAGATAGAAAAAGGTCTGTGATGGTGGGTTGCTAAGTAACTGTTCTACGTTAAGCCTGTTAGAGGAAACTATGGAAGTGTGAAATCGAAACACAATGAGCAAAGCAGGTTTTTATCAGATATCGAGAGGGGTGATCTAACAAATAAAATATTCATGCACACTAACAGCATGTATTTGTCACACACACCTATCCACACATAGGTTTGCTTAATGAGATCAGGTCAGGTAGAGATTATTGATTGGCTACAGAGAGTCAGTCTTATTACAAGAAAGCAACTGTGCAGAAAGCTTAAACAAAAAGCATCTGAAGATTACCAGGACTATTTTCTTTTTCTATGATTCTAAAAGATTCTTGTAAAAAAGAGCAAATGAAGCCTTGAAGCCTCTTTTTTTTTCTGTCATATCTAACATTTATGCTTTTGCAGCCCTTTACTAAATGCTTTTTCTAAAGAGCTCAGCTCAATATAATTCTCTCTGATCATGTCATGACCCCATGATCCCAACATCTGATTGGTTCACAATGCAGTTTTGCTTTCCTATGAAAGAGACGTATAATCTCCATTTTTAGACATGAATATCATTTTCAAAAATTTTGTTCCAATAAATGTTCATAAACATAGAGAAAACCCCTACTCATCTTTAGCTGTACTGTAATAGAGTAATCAGTGCATATCCGGACGTTATATGCAGAAGTTTCCATTTTTTGTTTTGTTTTACTATAGTATTATAATATAGAGGTTTATGAAAAAAGAAACATAATAAAGATTGAGGTGAATTTTTTTTATATTTGAACAATCATCCTAATGTTTTCTGAAACCTGGCTGAATTATTATGAGCTGACACATAAACAAACAAACATGTTTTGAAAAGGAAAGTTAGGCACAAGCAGTAAAACATGAAGATGAGTAGATGTATTTCTAATTTTGTTTTTCAGATGACCGATTACAGATACTTTGGAGTCTAATTATTTCAAGTTCCATTCTTAAAAGTTACTCATCTCAGTGCTTACAAATATTCATATTTAAGCCTGAAAGATATTCAGATAGTTTTGGTATTTTGTAAAAATGCAAGTCCCTAAGAGGGGTTAAATTCAGATTATTTTATATAAGATATAAGAAACAATTACAATAAAACACAGTGTAACATAAAGAAATTATGTTCAAAAATGCGAAATCTGAATTCATATTGCATTTTCTGAAAAAGAAAAAACAAACATGCCTGTGAGAGCTGATATTTTAGGAAGTCTTAATACAGTTAGAGAATGTGTGACTGAATACAGAAAAAAACGAACCACAGATTCTGCTTCTTAAGCTCAGCTGCATCTGCATTTCAAAGCAAATTATCGTGGGAAGGCTCTGAACACTATTCCAGCTTTCTTTTTCGTGCAGAAAATAGGTAGGAAATAAAGGAGACATTTTATTCAGATATTAGATAGAGTTAGGTGTAAAATTATTGAAATATATTTCTGTGAATAAGAAAAGGAAACAGTGAAAAAGCTTTCTTATGCTGTAACATTAAATGGAAAGGCTGAAAAACAGAAATGTAACCACAGGACATCCCTCCTCAGGTCATTTAAATCTAATAACTAATTTTAAATGAAATAAGCAGAGAATATGAATTTCTAAACTCACCTCGGGGCTGCTTTTCTCTTGCTGTGCTTATGCTCCTGCTACTCAGCTGCTCTTCCAGAGAGAACCACAGTGTGTCTCTTGCGGTGTGTGTGTAATGATGACTTGAGAGAGAGAGACAGCGAGAGAGCAAGGAACGTTTGCTGAATATCTCTCCCTCTCTTTAACTTTCAGTCTCTGGGTCGGCTCTTTTGTTCTGCTTCTACTCATCTCTTTTGTGTTTTATACTGTGGTTAGTATTTAAATAGCATGTTCATTTTCTTGCCGTTTCTACTCATGCAAGCTGCTTCAATTAAGCAGGTTTTCATAGGCAATGACTTTTTATTCTAGCGACCTGCTACTTGTGAGCCCTAATGGTTGTGCTGGTGAAAAGGTCTTTTAGGATAATTTAACCCTGATCTCTTAAAAACACGCATATATGCATAGTAAACTTAATACATCTAAGAAGATCTGTGTAAAATCTTTGAAAATCATTACCAGTTATACTGTAAGTACTGCTAGTAATAGAAAGGATATTATTTATTATTTTAGCCCTTTCTTAGAACTTACTAATTTTATGTGCTTACGTTACGGTTATGACTTGTCACCTCTCATTTTTTCATTCTAATGAAAATTCATCTTCTGAGCTGGAGGGAAAGTCATTTTCATTTCTTTTATTGCCTTTGTCCATTTCTCTCACTCTCTACGAGAGTGGAATCCAAACCAGATGTAGAATGTCTGATTTTGATCCAACCCCTCTCTGTCCATGGCCTTGTTCATATCTCAGCTGAAGATCAAATAATTAATTCTCTGTTACTTTTTGTATTACCAGTCTCTCTTTATACCTTTATCTTTCCATCAGTCCATCCCTGCCAGTATCAGGGAGTTTTTCTTATCCCTGTTCATTGAGATTCAACCTGCAATTACCTCTGTGAGAAACTGTCTTTATCCATTTATCCAAAAGTCCTCAGGTGTTTACCAACATTAACCAGTTTTTTCTCCATCGTTTAGGACTTTTGCTATAGTTAGGCTGACAAACCTCATGATCTCTTGGCTTTTCTTTTCTAGCATTGAGTTGATAGAATTGGAAAGTGTGTCAAAAACACCTTTATTTCCAACTGTAACAGTCATGTAACAGTGAATTATGGTATCTCCCAGACATGGTCATTAAAGTAACAGTTTTTAATTTATAGTATCCATATAAGTAGGAGCAAAATATCCTGAAAAATGCCATAAAATAAGTTCGAAAAGAAGGAAAAATTGATAGAACAGCTGATTTCACCCAATTTCTGTAAGAGCAGTCTTGTAAAAGTATTCACAGCCAATACATTTTAGTCCCCAACCTATGCATTTAATACAGGTTTTATATCGGAGACCGTCATCCTTGAACGGAAATTATTGATGTGGGAAAATGGGTACACTTTTTCATACACACACACACACGAGGAAAGCTTTTCTACATCCACAGATGAAAGTCCTCTCTTCTCTTCCTAAGCATGAGATTTCTGCTCATTCGTCTGAGCAATATGGGTTAAGTCAGACTGTCTGAGTAATACCTGTGAATATCAACTTTCAAGAGTTACAACTAATCCTCAGTTGGATTTAGGTCTTGACTGAGTGATACTATAATATAGATATGCTTTGATCTGAATATTATTTTTTTGTATAGTGCTGCAATCTGTGAAAGTACAAGACAAGAAATACGTATTCCCAAAACAAGCCAGGTACTTTCTCAAGATTTATTCATAACATGTTACTGTTTAACCAAGGTGTCTGTAATTTGTTTTGACTCTGCCTACTTTCCATTATTTTAAGCCCCTGTCACACCTTGACAATTTAGCCAGTGTATGTCTGACGTACGGAAAATCCCTCAAAACGCTGGCATACATTGGATAAGTGTTAGGTTTAAACACCAAACATTTTATGCAGTAACCTGTACAAAGAATGACACAGAGAATTTTTGTATGATTCACTTGCAAGGAGAGTGATCAGAGACTGTTCAGTTACAATTCTCCAAACCACTCTGAAAAAGTCTCCGCTCTACCAAGCTTTTTATTAAGGAAACGCCCTGGCTACAATGTGGTTCCGACTGCTAAGGGGAGGGGGAAGGATGAAGCCAGTCGGAACCAGAAGGGAGGGGGTGAAAACCCAGTCGGTACCAGAAGTCTGCATAACATCATACAGTATCATGAGATAAGAACTTTCACTCCTTTCTCTGGTGTTAGTACGTGCAGTTCCCCGTGTTCTTCTCCTTGAACTGGGGCTGGCCTTCAGCAGCCAATTCTCATAATCAGCACTCCTTCTGCACAGACTTAAAACATTAGTACAGAACAAACAAGTAAAATACTTCAACACTCTTTATGATATAAGTGAAATAGGGATAACAAAATGTGTGAGCATAATAATATGATCTCAGTGTGTAAGCATAATAATATGATCAAAGTAATATGATTAAAAGTAGAATAACTTGTACAATTAATCCAACATTTCCCCCCTGTTTATTCACTTTAAGCTATTTATTTTATCATTCAGTAGTTACTTCTTTTCAGATTTTCAACTATGAAATCACGTTTTAGCTGTAAAGGGTACACTCAGAGGTACTTTAAGCTGGTGGGTTACTGTTAATGTCATTAGAATTAAGCAGGAAAATGCAAAGAGATTTCATCCTCTGCGCTGTCTTCATCATCAGATGGGTATTTTTCAGTGGGCATGAGGGCATACATTTCTGCTTTCATGGGTTGTATTGCTGTGGTAATTAGTCTATTTAACAGTGCTCTAATACATGGAATACAACAACATCCACATAAGGTCAAGATGGCGGCAAATACAGCTATAGACATTAAAATAGAAAGCACCAATTGTTTGTATTTACCAAAAATGTCTCCAAATCCATCCCACATTTTTGTGTCAACTCCAGAATGGTCTTTCATTTTGCTGTTAAGAGAGCGAAGGCCTTCAAGGGCCTTTGTGAGGCTGCCATCTGCAGCGGTGTTGTTGGGAATAAAGGTGCAACACTGATCTCCAAAAATAGAGCACACACCACCTTTTTCAGCTAACAACATGTCAACAGCAATACGGTTCTGGAAAGCCATCAGAGAGGTAGCTGACAATTGTTCATGGACGGCGGAGAAGCCTTGTTCTGTTTTATTTCCCAGCCTCTGGACGTTATAATGGATGTAGTTGATTCTGTCTAAATTTTTATTTAGAGTACACCACCAGCATAAAAAAGATTCAAATCCTGCAGAAACTTGATTGGCTAGTTTATACTCATCAGGAACACCTCTGGGTACACCAATGCTATCAATATAAGTAGGGTCATCTCCACTCCATGCATTTTCAGATGCCCTCCTCCTTCTAGTATGCTCTGTGTGAGGTAAAATGCTGTTTGCAGTCGTTAACAATTCATCCGTTGTGAGTGATGTAACAGAAACAGGTAAAATCAAAGTGACAGCAGCACATAATCCAGTGGTGTTACATGGAAGTTTGTCAAACAATTTGTCATCTCCACACCACCACCAGATGTCGCTGCGGGATTGAGGTTTAAAAAAGGTGGATACCAGTAAAATACTTGCACATTGCGTTTCATTTAGTGTGCCTAGTTTCGGGCCCACTCCGGTCCTGTTTACACAGGTGAAATTTGCCACAGCTACTTTTTTCAAAAAGATTGGTTTCTTTTTCTCAGTTGTGGTCAGGGGATAGATGTTATCCCAATAGGTGCAATTATCAGATGGGACCGTATAATTCATTATATTTAGAAGACATTGAGGAGTTATGGTAGCAGGAACCACACGTAACAGCGGTCTAGCTCCCATACACACAAGACAATCATTAGACACTGTTTTAGCTGCTTGTTCTGCCATTAAAAGCCAGTTGTTTGTTTGCCCAGAGATTCCAGTGATGACTTGAAACAATTCATCTATTTTAAGCGGACCATTAATATTTTGAATTTTTATCTGTTCACCTTGGGCAGAAGTAAGAATCCCTTGTATCTCATCTCTTTCTTGTGTAATATTTACGGGGCACAAATACAAAGGCCAACATGGATCGGTTCCACTAGACCGTGCACATAGAAATGAGGAAGAACAGCCTTCCTTCTCAAGGGGTTCTGCTGTGGAGTTTATTGTCATAGTGAAAACTTTGGAAGCATGGTTAACAGTGAACCCTGATATTCTACTCATCCATTTCTTAGCTAAAGGTGTCCATCCATATGATCCCTTTTTCCACTGTCCAGTGGTTCTAAATACGTCTCCCCAACCATTATGAGTTCTTTGAACTACGCGAGGAAATAGGTAGAAATCATAACCGTGCCAATTTCCGGGGTCATGTTTAAATCTTTGCGAGAATGTTTGAAAAGGAATAGTCACCAAACTGATTACTCTAGTAGAGTTATAGCAGAGATAGACGTCCCTTTTACAAATAACTGGATCTTGAGGGCAACAAGAATCCTTGCTCTGAGCGAGAGCTGAAAACAAAACTAATATGAATAATCGCAACATCATCTAGGTTTAAACTTCAAAAGTGTTCTATGGATAATCTTTTTACACAATGGTCTACTTCCTATGACCTCTCGGCAGAGTTGTTGAACCTTCACCAGTTTGAGATGGTTGTATGCTAAAAAATACAACCCCCTTTGTACGATGGACTTCCTCTGGAGGTCGGTGAAGGAGACCAAATGTGTATTCTATAACAGGTACCACAGTAGAATTACTAGAGTGCTAAGCAGTATGGTAAGGGTCCACAGAATAATTAAGAAAGTGATTTTACTTATTACTCAACTGATCTAACTATCACTTTCTTGCAATCCATTTAGAAAACAAATCTATTATAACCAAACAGAATTGAAAGGATAAATAGGTTTAGGGAAAGCACCTTTTTAGGTCTTAAATTTCCTTGAAGATTATGTTTAGCACATATTAGACATGCTTTACAAAAGTTTTTTGCATAGAATATAAATCCATATGCTGTATAATGATGCTCAATGCTCAATCAATCCTACAATCCCCCCGTTTGAGACATGAGTAAAATCATGACTCAATATAGCAGCTCATTCAAAGAATTTTTTATTTGGAAGGATTGGTTTATGTTCTGGTCACATATAGGTGCCATTATGGA